GCTGAATCAACATATATTCTCAAGTTGAATTGTATGGTCTCTCAACTTTGAATTTAAGGTTAAGTGAACATACAATTCAACTTGAGAATTTATTCTACCTTATTTGCATATTTCTTAGTGTAACATTAATCTCTTTATGACAATACATTACATAAATCAAAAGGCCTTTCTTTGAGGGCCTAGTTACACCCTAACGCTGTGGTCTGAAACTCTTGGTTTACAGGCCACATCAAGCCTGCAAGTCACATTATGCTGGCTTGCAAAGTGATGTGTAATTCCTATTGGAATCCAGCCAGAGTGACGATATCCAACAATTGAAACTTTTAATCACCCACAACCTACATTGAGAATGACTGCCAGGGTAGGGAATATTGATTATTGAGACTACCTAAATCATATCAACTGGAACAGCTATCTCAGTAACAGGTGCAAAAAGTCCAACTACAAACAAATTGGATTAGTTTAGAAAAATGTATGTTATTTATGTTTGTGTAGCATAAGATTAATAAACCAATCAATGTACAAGCAAAAACACAGGTATTTAAGCAAACAATTCTGAAAACCATCCTGCAATAGAGCACCCTGGGAAATATGATAATGATGGGGGTGGTTTTTAGTGGTTTTGAGCAAACATTAATTTGTAATTTTACTTAACAAGCTTTTTCAAATTCAGCTCACATTAGCGCAAATTCTTGTCCTTTTGAAGTCCATTCAACTCACAGAATAACACTGATTAAACAATTTGTTAAGTAGCTTCTTTTTTTTTTTTTTTTACAGTGCAGGGTTTCACAATCAAATAAGTTATTGATGAATCAAGGTATCTTCAAATCAAATCAAATCAAATGTTATTTGTCACATGCGCCGAATACAACAGGTGTAGACCTTACCATGAAATGCTTACTTACAAGTCCTTAACCAACAATGTAGTTTAAAAAAATAGAGTTAAGAAAATAGATTAAGAATGTAACAGGCACCCTCTCTCTGAGATATCAACAGCACTGTGAATGATACTGAACAAAAATATAAACGCAACATGTAAAGTGCTGGTCCCATGAGCTGAAATAAAAGATCACAGACATTTTCCATACGCACAAAAAGCTTATTTATCTTCAGTTTTGTGCACAAATTTGTTTACATCCCTGTAAGTGAGCATTTCTCCTTTGCCAAGATAATCCATCCACCTGACAGATGTGGCATATCAAGAAGCTGATGAAACAACATGATCATTACACAGGCGCACCTTGTGCTGGGGACAATAAAAGGCCACTCTAAAATGTGCAGTTTTGTCACACAACACAATGCCACAGATGTCTCAAGTTTTGAGGGAGGGTGCAATTGGCGTGCTGACTGCAGGAATGTCCACCAGAGCTGTTGCCAGAGAATTGAATGTTAATTTCTCTACCATAAGCCGCCTTCAACGTTGTTTTAGAGAATTTGGCAGTATGTCCAACCGGCCTCACAACCGCAGACCACGTGTATGTCGTCGTGTGGACGAGCGGTTTACTGATGTCAACGTTGTGAACAGAGTGCCCCATGGTGGCGGTGGGGTTATGGTATGGGCAGGCATAAGCTATGGACAACGAACACAATTGCATTTTATCGATGGCAATTTGCATGCACAGAGATACTGTGAAGAGATCCTGAAGGCCATTGTCGTGCCATTCATCTGCCGCCATCGCCTCATTTTTCAGCATGATAATGCACTGCTACATGTCGCAAGGATCTGTACACAATTCCTGGAAGCTGAAAATGTCCCAGTTCTTCCATGGCCTGTATACTCACCAGACATGTCACCTTTTGAGCATGTTTGGGATGCTCTGGATTGACGTGTACGACAGCGTGTTCCAGTTCCCGCCAATATCCAGCAACTTCGCACAGCCATTGAAGAGGAGTGGGACAACATTCCACAGGCCACAATCAACAGCCTGATCAACTCTATGTGAAGGAGATGTGTCGTGCTGCATGAGGCAAATACTGACTGGTTTTCTGATCCACGCCCCTACTTTTTTTTTAAAGGTATCTGTGACCAACAGATGCATATCTGTATTCCAAGTCATGTGAAATCCATAAATTAGGGCCTAATGAATTTATTTAAATTGACTGATTTCCTTATATGAACTGTAACACAGTAAAATCTTTGAAATTGTTGCATGTTGAGTTCATATTTTTGTTCAGTATAGTTTGGAGACCAATGAACCACTGTTGTTTAGGAGCAATTCTAGTCAGATTAATGCGACCTGGGCCACTTCGGATGAGCATGGCAACAGAATACATTGTATCCTGGGTGCATGTCCCCTCCAACTCTTCGTCCATATTCAAGACACTCAAGCATTTCTGGTCTGTGAATCATCTTCGCTGTTTGATGGCAAGCACACACAGCTGGGTGTGCTACACCCTTGATACTCACGAATTACCATATCATTCACAGCAAGTAATATTTAGCTGCTTGTCATGCAGTCCATAATTGATAGTCTGCTATTAAACTCTGGTGAGTAGGCTGCAACATCATTTAACACAACATAGGCTACTATAGCGTACTCTGAAAACAACAAAACTGCATTTCATCAACAGAGGCCACACATTACAAACCAATACAAACCAGGGAATTGCTTTGTGTGCATTAAATGTAGCCTAGCCTTCTCCTCAATTCTTCCATATATTGTGTACATACATAAAAAACAGAAAACCATATAATTTTACTACTGCAACTAAAACAAATTGAGAAAAACAACCACTTTATTTAAATAAAGCTACATGCCAAGTGCTTAGATACTTAAGTAGCCTATGTGGAATGCTGAGTACACAACTGCATTGTCATGTTCAGACAAGTTTTATTCTATCACTTTCCCAACGCTCATCCACCTGTTCCGTAAGCAAATCAGTATATTGAACATACTGGAAGAAAAACTAGTATAGTTAAAATAGTGTTTATTCACAAAGTCGTCGTACATTCGGCTATAGATAGGCTTTAAATCTTATCTACTTCTATTATGAATACATGCGAGAATACAAACTTTACTAAGTAAGTAATAAGAAGAAAACAAGTGTCTCTGGCATTACCTACAATATCCTCGACTTCGGAGACTTGCTCTCCAGCGCGTATTCCTCCCCTGCAACTTGCAGAATACACTATTGACCACTTTTGATTTAAAACGTCCTTGGCACTGAAAGTGGTGTTTTCAACGATGGGATGATCCGCGCCCTGGCCGACTGTGCCTTCGCGCTGCCAATGCCATAAGTGTGTTCATCATAAAGCCTCTCCACCAATCACCTGTCATGTGATTCTAGGGGCGTGCCATTCCATCAAACTACACAGTCCACGTGCTCTAGCTACTTTTACTTTTCAATACACTAACAAGACTGCCTCACATGTAAATTCTTCTTCTTCTTCTTCAGTGGGGTTTATCGGCGGTTGGCATCCAACGTTATGGTGCATTACATGTAAACTCAAATCTGAAACAAGTTATTGTAATCATGTGTAATAAATATAATATTGTGCACAACGCATCACATATTGTGTATGCTATTTGTATACACACAAATATACGTATTTTTTTTGCCCACTTACCTGTGCGAACATGTTTTTTTATTATCTCACCTGGTTGAGTCTGCCATGGCCCAGCACGTGCAAAGTATTATATACCCTACGACTGTAGGACTAAAACGTATAGGCTATAATTTGGACGCTTGGCTCACTGGTGTTCGTGCTGAAGTTCTTGACAACAGTGCCATCTGCTGATTATAAGTGAGACAACCATAGTTACATAAAAAAAACATAAAATATCTCAGGTTAGACAGACTCCCACAGTATGAGTCATAATACCCATAAAACCTAGCGGTCAAACAAGGAAATGGTTCCATTTGTTTTTCCACCATACATTTTTCCCATAGGGGATTTTAGAAACACTTAAAATAAGGGCTGTGTTTTAAGTAGGCTTACCCTGGCGTGACGTTTTGATAACCGTGTAAATCTCTCTAGGACAAGGTGACTTATCAATATAGTCACCTACATCTACCCCCCAAAAATGAAATGCTAATTAGCTGCTAATGTGGCTATCATAAAGAACTACAAATGCCATGATGATTTGGACGAGACTTCCGAATTGAGGCAAAGGTAAATATCTCTGGATTAACTATCCAATGTTAGCTACATTTAGTAATGAATAAATTGGCTACATTTCTTTAAACTTACATTTCTTTGAACCTTCTTGTATAAGATTTAAATTGACACAATACCTGTTTTGCAAAGGTGTCAACTAGAGATGACGTGCAGGAGCTTGTGGGGATTTGTAGTCTTGCATGATGTCTACTTTGATGCTAGTTAGCATTTTTGAATCTGATAGTAAATAGAGCCGAATATATTGATAAAAGTCACCTTGTCTGAGAGAGATTTACATGGTTATCAAAACATCACGCCAGGGTAAGCCTACACAAAACACAGCCCTTATTTTAAGTGTTTCTAAAATTCCCTATAGGAAAAATGAATGGTAGAAAAACTATTGGAACCATTTCCCTGTTTGACCGCTAGGTTTTATGGGTATTATGATACCTCCACTGTGGGGCTCTATTACTAGCTACCTAATCTCATTTGCCTACACTTCTGCCCATGCTCAATTAGCCTGGTGACGTGGTTACTATGCCATATACATACACCATAATAACATGTCATGTGCTGCCTTTCAAAGTTACCACAAAGAACAACAGAAGCTCATATCAAAATTATTATAGGAACAGGAATAGGAAAATGTGGTTTGTCTGTTAATAGAATAAACTAAAGTGCCATCCGTTTGTGGAAATGTCAGATTTTGTTGTTTTCCATCAGTTTACAGGCACATCCAATCTTTACAGAGCTCTAATGTGTTCATCATGACTATGCAAAAAGCTACTGTTTTGGAAGAGAGTGTGTGTAGCTCTCTCACCTCATTCCGTTCAACAGTGCCATATTGGCAAAAACCTATTTTCAGTCACTGTACCTCCAAGAAGCATCTGACTACATTGTACCAAGAAGCATCTGACCACTACATTGCTCTCAGAAAAACAACTTTTTAAATGCAGTTTATTATAATCTTGCAGAAAGTCACATGCAAATATGGGCCTCGAGCAAACTGTGTATTGTGTTACCTCAACTTAAATTGATATATTGTTGGCTATACTTTTTATTATGATAATAGATTATGGACATTGTTCATTAGTTATGTTTTGAATTTAATACACCTGTGGTTCTATGACTGATAATGAGGGGTTATAGATTTTAAAAAATCAGGACTGCATTGATTTGACTATCTGCCAAGAACATCCTATGCAACCATCAGGACAAAGAGGACGTGTCCTTGCTTAACTTTTGCACACACACTGCTTTTAATGTAGATTTGTGTCAGACTTCAGCCTTGCTCTTGAGGTCCACTTTGTAGATGGTCTGGTAGCCGTCGTCCCAGGCATAGAGCTGCTTGTCCTTGGGGTGGTAATGCATACTGTAGTGGTTGGTGTAGCGCTTAGGAAAGAACAGCACAGGGCTCTGCTCACTGTGGATGGTGTCGTGGATATCGTACAGGCACTGGATGCTGGAGCGCCCTCCGTAGCGGGAGTTGTACACCACATACAGCGTTCCACAGATCATGAACGCTGACTCTGCGTTGTGGCTCTTACAGGTGGTGTCCCAGATGTGCTCCACAGCAAGGCTGCTCTTGTCCAGCTTGGTGATCACCAGGTTGCCCCCAAACTCTGGGTCAGAGTAGATGACCCACAGGCCCAGCTCGTCCACAGCCAGGTCCAGGAAGGTGTGTGTGGTGAGGGCGTAGGTCGGCAGGCGGCCAGCTCCGGGCAGCAGCATACTGTCGGCCACAGTGCGGTTGAGGAGATGCACCTTTAAGATCTGGTTGGGTGTGTCTGCCCTGTGATAGTACAGAAAGCCATTGTAGACCACATGGCCAGTTCCCTGCCAGGGAAAGGGGAGCTGAATTGGATGAGCCTGGGCGAGCCTTCCCTCAGTGAAGGTCTTCAGGGATTTAAACTCTAGTAGGGTGTTGTTCTTATTCCCACTGAAGAAATAGATTTTGGCAGAGCCCTTAGTAGGGTCTTTCAGCCAGGATCCATAGACGTCCCCTGCTTTCTTCACTATCTTCAGAGACTTCACACCAGTGAGAGCTATGTCGCAGTCTATACATGAAAGGACAAGAGTAAGATTGAATGTATCCTAATTGATTTCTCAATATATGTAATGTACAACACACACACATATATTACATTGTTTTCTAGTTAACATCAGTTTCCTATGTACCTGTCCCCAGTGTGATCTTTACTTTTTTCTTCTGGGCGTCTTTCATCTGCTGTTCCATCAGGACCTCCTCCACCTCAATGTGGGGCTGGTTAGGGGTCTTATTCTCCAGGTACTCCACGTCCCTCTCCACCCGCTCCACCCGCATGGCCACACTATCCACCTGGGTCTTTACCTCCGTCCGGTGCACCTCCATGTTAGCCAGCTGGCCACGCACCTCTGTAGACAGGTCATAGATCTTCTGGTCCACCCGCTGGGTGTTCTGCTCACATTTGATTAGACGCTCCTGGGCAAGAGAGGTGAGCAAGCAGATGCTGTCTAAGAAGTGGCACAATGTGATTGTAAGATAGTGGACCCTAGGCGGTCTTGTCAGGGGGTGTGAAGCATAAGGATTCAGACAAAATCAGGTGCAAAATTGAGGTATTTATTTACAGGTGCAGAAGGTGAAATGGAACCATGGATGTTTACAAGACATTGAGGAACTCTGACATATAAACGTAAACTTTCAAAATGACAAACAATCATCTAAATAGCCAATAACTGAAGCAACAACTGGCTTCTAAGGCAGAGTGCCTATAACATCAATAATTACTCATACTGCTGAATACATAAAAAACTGGGACAAAATGTCACACCAGCTCAAGCTCTCCTGAAATTATCCAGAATAGTTCCAACCTGAGATCCCTACAGATCGTAAACGCTTGGCTGCCCTAATCTGGGCAAGAGTGGAGCAGGCGCGGGATATGGCTCGAAAACGTACCTCAATCCAGTTATAGAAGATGTCGCTGTACTCCTAATTATCCCATTATCCCAACTGACAAATCGAGAAAATTGAAATACTGCTAGTTTTGAATGAAACTGCCTTTTTCGTACTGGGCGTCACCGGCTCGCCCCTCCAAATCAGTCCAATATTTTTTGGTGCGATGGTGAGTACAGGTCGATAAATCGAAACAATGTAACTTAAATTCTTCATAAACATTGTTAACAAATTCTACTTGCGTGTGATCATTTGTATAATAACTTTGGGACATGTTCAGCGGTACACGCTAGCCACATGAACAAACCAAAACATTAGCAAACTGTGTTTGGTGGCAAATGAGTTTGGTATATGCATTGGAGTCCATAGTTCGCATAGTCACAGTGATTGAACATGAGTTTTTGATATTTGCTGTTAACTTTGGTTTTAGTTTAGTGTTACTGTAATGTTATCAATACAGACTAAACAACGAGGTAGAGTAATCTGAAATATAAGATATTCGTTTTTTTATTTGACCATAAGACAATGCATTCATATTGTGTGCGTAATGAAGGAAACATGTAGTTTATGTCTCTTACCTCAAGTTGGGCAATCCTCCTCTCAAAATACTGCATTATGAAGGCTTCCTGGGTGGACCTCTGAGCATGCCCCAACCCCAGGCTCAGGACGAGCAGTGTCAACACACAGGTATACATCAAACACACTTTTCTGACTTATTTCAACTACTCTCAAACACAACCAGAAAAGTATATTCAAAAAAAAAAAGAAAAGAGCATTTAGTTCTGAACTAACCTAAAAATAAGTCTCCCTGGTGAGTTGTGTGTTTGAATTCCAGAGTCATCTGGCTGTATGTTTGTTTTTCGTTGATGTGAGAGACAGTTCCGGGAGGTTCTGAATCCTTCTTCTGAGAGACAGTTCCAGGAGTTTCTGGATCCTTCTTCTGAGAGAGAGTTTTGCTCAGGCTGCTGCGTCTTTAGAACTTCTAATATTATCCAGATGGGCCCTTGGCACATCCCCAGTGCTGAAAAAATACGAAACTATGCAGGATCAAAGTCTAATGAGTTTTTATAGTGAACTCATGCAGGCATTGATCTATTATTTTCTGGATTATAGTTTTTCTCCCATTGTATAAAGATTTCCCCAAAATGTTGAGGCATGTTGTCTATTTTGGATATTGTAATCATATAATGTATTTATGGAAAAATGTAGGTTTTGGTTTTTATTTCATTATTTTAGAAGTTGGAGCATTGGTCAGTCAGCTGTTGAACAGGAACAGGCTCTGAATAGATTTCTTCATCTTTGTTTATAGTTTTAGAAGATGCCTTTTGGCCCCATAAAGCTAGCCCTCTGCAGGTTGATTTCAGTGATTCCAACAAGCAGTGACCTTGTTCCTACCAGCAGGTGGTGCCACATTATCTGGAGAAGACTAGTTTTCATTTCCTCCTGAGGACATGCATGACAGCTGTATCCAGTCCAGTACTTCCATGGGTTTTTGGTACATTGATTGTTTGTGTACTTTCAGCAATCAACACTTCCTGTAACCTTTCATTGCCAGTTTGTTTTGCTACTTCAATACAGTTTTGTTATTGAGAATTTGATATAGGCTACAATCATTTGTGAAATCCTCATCCAGATAGTTTTTGAATGTCACTCCTGATCAGTTCCTCTTAACAGTTAATGTAGTGGTACAGTATGCATTATGAATGCAAAAGGCACAATTTATTTTCAAATCCTAATGATGAATTATGTATGCTGTTGTATAATGCAATTGGTGGGATGTGTTTTTAACTTGAACAGTGATAACTAGACATGGTCTCTACATGAAACTGGATGTAAGGCATAAGCACTTTATGTCTGGGGTGGAGATCAGAGGGGTATACTACAAAGTATAATTCATTAGTAACCAGAAATAACTATTGATTTTATGGTTCACAAAAAAGCGAAACATAGATATTAAATCAAGCATATCTTTCTACAAAATTAGTTAGCTGGCTAACTCCTTGATCCTGCTTTGTAGTATACCCCTCAGGTTTCATTTGTTTGAATGTGTTTGTCCTTTCTGTCTGTTCTGAATGAGATATTGTACCATCTGTCTGTGTGTGATATGGTAAACAACCCTCAAAAGTTGAATTGCATAGAACTGGTCTCATCAGGTAATACTCTCCATGCCATCTTTCCACTTATCTGACTATCCTTTCAGTGTCAGGAAGTTGCCTCTATTTGAAATGTCAAAGCATACTTCCACTAGACACTCTTATCCAGAGCGACTTACAGGAGCAATTAGGGCACATCAAAATATTTTTGAAGTAGTCTGCTCGGGGATTCAAACCAGTGATCTTTCAGTTACTGGACCAACGCTCTTAACCGCTAGGCTACCTGTCATCCCTAGGTGACAGCAGAGGTTTTCTTTCAGCCGACTTCAGCATCGTAGCCTTGAAAACAACTCCTGTTGCTCTGTAACTAAAGATGGTTTAGTTACAGGGGTGTCAAACATACGGATCCGGCCCTCAAGGGGTCCAATCCGGCCCATGGGGGAGACGAACTCAATATACTTTAAAATTACTTAAACCAAATCAAAACTGTGTAGAAATGATAATGAACCTACATTCATACAGTTTCTTGACTGTGTCCAGTCAGGGATTATCGGAAATTCCCCAAACAATGGATAAAGGACTACATTTTGCTCATTTTGAAGGTTAAGAAATAACACATTGGCTCGAATCTAGGTTGTGCTTTTAGATTTCTAGAAACTTTTATTTTTTATTGACTTCTCAAACCACAAACCCCGATCTGATCTGCCGAGTCTGCTTCGCACGCTTTCCCGGAAGTCTTGCGATGTTGGGCCTCTGGGTTTGAAAACTCTGTGCTGTAACTGTTCATTGCCAATTGAAGGAATGTGACCATTCATGGATTTCCAGTTGTTATACAGTGGCTTGCGAAAGTATTCACCCCCCTTGGCATTTTTCCTATTTTGTTGCCTTACAACCTGGAATTAAAATTGATTTTTGAGGGGTTTGTATCATTTGATTTACACCACCTGCCAACCTCTTTGAAGATGCAATTTCTTTTTTTTTGAGAAACAAATAATACAAAAAAACTGAAAACTTGAGCGTGCATAACTAATCACCCCCCCAAAGTCAATACTTTGTAGAGCCGCCTTTTGCAGCAATGACAGCTGCAAGTCTCTTGGGGTATGTCTCTACAAGCTTGGCACATCTAGCCACTGGGATTTTTGTCCATTCTTCAAGGCAAAACAGCTCCAGCTCCTTCAAGTTGAATGTGTTCCGCTGGTGTACAGCAATCTTTAAGTCATACCACAGATTCTCAATTGGATTGAGGTCTGGGCTTTGACTAGGCCATTCCAAGACATTTAAATGTTTCCCTTTAAACCACTCAAGTGTTGCTTTAGCAGTATGCTTAGGGTCATTGTCCTGCTGGAAGGTGCCATCCATCATTCCTTCAATTCTGACCAGTTTCCCAGTCCCTGCCGATGAAAAACATCCCCACAGCATGATGCTGCCACCACCATGCTTCACTGTGGGGATGGTGTTCTCAGGGTTATGAGAGGAGTTGGGTTTGCGTCAGACATAGCGTTTTCCTTGATGGCCAAAAAGCTCAATTTTAGTCTCATATGACCAGAGTGCCTTCTTCCATATGTTTGGGGAGTCACCCACATGCCTTTTGGCGAACACCAAATGTGTTTGCTTATTTTTTTCTTTAAGCAATGGCTTTTTTCTGGCCACTCTTCCGTAAAGCCCAGCTCTGTGGAGTGTACGGCTTAAAGTGGTCCTATGGACAGATACTCCAATCTCCGCTGTGGAGCTGTGGGGATGGTGTTCTCGGGGTGACGAGAGGTGTTGGGTTTGCGCCAGACATAACGTTTTCCTTGATGGCCAAAAAGCTTTGGTCTATTTGTTGCCTCTCTGATTAATGCCCTCCTTGCCTGGTCCGTGAGTTTTGGTGGGCGGCCCTCTCTTGGCAGGTTTGTTGTGGTGCCATGTTCTTTCCATTTTTTTATAATGGATTTAATGGTGCTCCGTGGGATGTTCAAAGTTTCTGATATTTTTATACAACCCAACCCTGATCTGTACTTCTCCACAACTTTGACCCTGACCTGTTTGGAGAGCTCCTTGGTCTTCAAGGCGCAGCTTGCTTGGTGGTGCCCCTTGCTTAGTGGTGTTGCAGACTCTGGAGCTTTTCAGAACAGGTGTATATATACTGAGATCATGTGACAGATCATGTGACACATAGATTGCACACATGTGCACTTTATGTAACTAATTATGTGACTTCTGAAGGTAATTGGTTGCACCAGATCTTATTTAGGGGCTTCATAGCAAAGGGGGTGAATACATATGCACGCACCACTTTTCCGTTATTTATTTTTCATAATCTTTTGAAACAAGTTATTTTTTTTCATATCACTTCACCAATTTGGACTATTTTGTGTATGGCCATTACATGAAATCCAAATAAAAAATCTATTTAAATTACAGGTTGTAATGCAACAAAATAGGAAAAACGCCAAGGGGGATGAATACTTTTGCAAGGCACTGTATTTAAGTGTCCACTTATGTTGAGATTTCAGCATGCAAAATAAAAATTACTAATGCCATGATCACAAATTGATATTCAATGTATCTGGTGTAAGGCTAGCCCACCCAACAACATACAGTGCCTTCAGAAAGTATTCACACCCCTTGACTTTTTCTAGATTTTGTTGTGTTACAGCCTGAATTTAAAATTGATAAAATTGCGATGTTTGGTCAATGGCGTGTGGAATTACATTTTTAGACATTTTTACAAATTAATAAAAATGAAAAGCTGAACTGTATTCAACCCCTTTGTTATGGCAAGCCTAAATAAGTTCAGGAGTAAAAAATGTACTTAACAAGTCACATAATAAGTTGCATGGACTCACACTGTGTGCTGTTACAGGTTTTGGTTTTTCTATTTATGTTTTGAAGTTGGACTTTTAGCACGTATAGCACGTTAGCATGTAGGGCGCACCGATTGGCGTCACCTCGTTAGTCAGTATGGGTTACACCTGTGCTGGCTTGTCAATCTCGTTAGTCGGAAGGTGTTTCGCCTGTGCTGGCCCAGGTGATATTTAAGAGTGGCTGGCCGAGTACTCCAGTTGTCTTAAGAGATGTGGAGGGTCAACACCTTTAGTTGGCACTCCCTATTAGATTTCTAGAAAAACATTTCTTTGTCTGATCTTCCCTGTTTTTGTTTAGCTGAACTTTTTGGTTTGCTTCCTATCTTTAAGTTTGCTGAGGGTTTTTCTTTTGTTTGCCTCTTAGTGGGCACATTTAGTGGGCGCATTTTAGGTTCAAGTTGTTGTTGCTATCAACTTTCAGTGGACCCGTCTTGAAACCCCACCTGTTTGGTTTTGGTTGTCAGTGACTCTTTGGTTGTTTGTTAGTTCCCCATTCTGTTTGAGCGACAACTTTTGGTTTGTTGCTGCTGAACGTAACAGTGCAATAATAGTGTTTAACATTATTTTTGAATGACTACCTCATCTCTGTACCCCACACATACAATGCTCTGTAAGGTCCCTCAGTCGAGCAGTGAATTTCAAACACAGATTCAACCACAAAGACCAGGGAGGTTTTCCAATGCCTCGAAAAGAAGGGCACCTATTGGTAGATGGGTAAAAAAAAAAAAAAAGCAGACATTGAATATCCCTTTGAGCATGGTGAAGTTATTAATTACACTTTGGATGGTGTATCAATACACCCATTCACTACAAAGATACAGGCGTCCTTCCTAACTCAGTTTCTGGAGAGGAAGGAAACCGCTCAGGGATTTCACCATGAGGCCAATGGTGACTTTAAAATAGTTACAAGCGTTAAATGGCTGTGATAGGAGAAAACTGAGGATGGATCAACATTGTAGTTACTCCACAATACTAACCTAACTGACAGAGTGAAAAGAAGGAAGCCTGTACAGAATACAAATATTCCAAAACATGTA